AAAAAAAAATCAAGTATTTGCTTTATTTTTTATCATCGTCATCTCATGTTTGTTGTTTTGCAATGCCAGTGTAAACATGAGCCATTGTATAGCTTTAAAAAGAAGAAATATTTACACTACCTTGAACGATTCATTCATGTAAAAGTGAACATAGCTAAAACAACAACAATGGAATACCACAAATTGGAAAAAAATGCGCATTGACGTGTGGTATGAAGGTCGAACGAAACAAAACGAAAAATCAATGGAAGATTGGAAAAAAAAGTTATTTGGCGCACATGGTACGAAAAATCATCACAATTAATTATAAATTTTGCTTCGATATTTGACCTTCAATCAGATTTGAGCAACAACATTTTTAAGCCACAAAAAATACTTTGTTGAAAATATTTGAAGCACATCGGGCTAATAATTAATATTATTTGACACTGTGTCTGCCATGCAATGCTGCTGTGAATGTTGACCTCTCTTGGCATTGACTTTTGGGGTTCAAAAAACACTCAGACAACACCACCCACGAGAATTTGAAAACAAAACCAAGAAAATAAAATATAATATTTAATCCACTCACCATCCACCCACTCAGTCACTCACACACACACACACACACACATACATACAAAACTATCAATTTACATCTTTAATGATAGACGGGTTAGTAATAACAGCTAATTAAAGTCTGCAAACAACGAACTACAAATGGAGATGCCTAATTTGACATCTGTCATTATTGGGTGGCCTGCCGGTTCGGGTGGTAATTATATATCAAACGCTATTTGTTGCAGACACACAGACACGACGACGACGGCCTGAGATTTTGTGTTTTAGCAACAAAACTAAATAATTTTCAAGAGAAAAATACACATTTTCATAAAATTAAAACCCAAAACAGAAGAGAGGTAACTGAACGAACACGCAATGACTTTGTGGCGTTTCATGGAAATGACACCGAGTTCAAAGATGGAGTAGTGTCTGGGTCACTGTTTTGTAGGTGTATCGTATAATATAATTTCAGATGTATTTATGTATTCGTAGTAAAGGCTTTTTCTCATCAAACAAAGTTCAATTTGCGATTATCTAAAAAACACAGTGGGGGATAAGGTGGACAAGATAGTTTAGCTATTGTGATGGTATGGACATTTTTGTAGATATAAGTTGGTCGGAATGTTTTTCGAGGTCTAAATCAAAAAACAAGCTCCGGATATATTTTAATGCCTTAAACAATTGGTCTGCACTTTTTAAAAATTTTATTTCATGTCACCGTTACATAAAGTTGAATATTGATTTGGAGTATTTTGCATAAACTCACATAGGGTTCGACTTTCTGATTTCAATTCCTGACGTTTAGATAAGATGTAGACTTCTGATGTTCTTTAATTTAAAAACAAATAAATTTGTAGAACACTTCGACAGCCTGCGGCCACGTTTAAAGGGAGTTTGTAGTCATATTTAAAAAAAAAAAATGTGACAAAAACCATCAAAATACTGAATATCGGAAATACCGTTATATGGGGGCTATACCAAAGCGTGGATCTATACATACAATGTTTCACCACACGAAGTAGGACCCATTATGACCTACAAATACCAATTTTCAGACAAACCCGGGAAAAAGTGTGGCAAAAATCATCAAAATACCGAATATCGGGAAATACCGTTATATGGGGACTATACCAAACCGATAAATCTCATTTTCAATACCAACCATCCTAGACACAATACAAATTATTCTGGTAAATCCTGTACGTCAAATAATGTGGCCTGTATCGTGATTTCTACAGACAGATGGACAGACAGACGGATATCGTTAAATCGACTTAGAATTTTATGCGGATTACAAATATATATATTATGGGGTCTACGACGAATATTTAGGGATGTTACAAACGAAATGACAAAGTTTATAGGGTGGAGGGTATAAAAAAAACCAAAAAACCATTTGTTGACAGGCTTGAGGGTTAAATTTACGAAAATAATACCAAAACGTGCCACTTTGGACCAAATCCGTTTCAGGACATTTGGAGTCGGTCTAGGGATGTCAGTCCGTCCGTCCATCTGTCTGGCCGGCACACGATAACTCTCGAAGGGAGCATACAATTTGGTGGAAACATGGCACATCATAATATTAATATCAAACTTAGATTGAATTTGGAGATGGGTTCCAATTCACTCCTTCTTGTACCTCCGCCCACAATAGGTCAAAATTTTCAAACAAAAAATCTTGTAGAATAAGAAAGGATTGCACAATTTTAAACATACCATGAAAAATCCTAATACTTTTTGCAGTTTTAGGCCTGGTATGAAAATGGAATATATCGACCCAATCCATCAAAGGGTCAAAATTTTAAATATCATCTCTCTTATAAAATGTGAAATAAGAGTTCCATAGTCCTCAAATTTTACACATCTCAATTCCTTTATGAACATAAGATTCGTTCTTTCTGAGGGTTTGCTTGTGGCAAGGGAAGATTTATCTTTGTCCTTTCCATCTTTAGCGCCAGGTGGAGATTTGTTTAGCTTATCCATATCTTGTTTATTTTTGTCTTCCGCGACTTTATTTTCTTTGGCTAAATTCTCGACCTCTTTGGCTGGATTCTTGTCCATGGTTTTATTATCTTGCAGTGTTTTATTGGTTTCTTCCTTCTTTTCCTTTTTCTCATCCATTTTGCTGGTCTCTTTTGCTTTCTCTTCGTCTTCCAATTTAGATGCTGCAATTGATTTCTTTTCATTTTGTGGCTTCTCAGTATTCTTCTGTTTCTCCTTTCCCTCATTTTGCTTATCCTTGTGAGACATTGCCTCATTATCAGCCATTTCATCCTCCACAGATTCCCCAGCCTTTTTGGTATCTCCCCCACAACGGGTTCAAATTTTGAATAATCATGGCGCTCATAAAAGCCGAAATAAGCATAGGATTCTAATCCATCCTAATATTTCCACCAACGCAAGATCTACAGGGTGAGATGAAAAAACTGCAACCAACTTCAGACTGTTGTAATTTCCAAACCACTCGTCCGACAGCTGTTAAAATTATTTCAATGACAGCTCAATATATTGTTTACAAACGTACAAAAGGATTTTGGTGAAAATTTTCCAGATGGAATTTAAACGTGATAGTGTGATTTCTTTATATTTGGCTGGAAACCCACAAGTGGCTATCGTTAGAGCGAAAAGCAAAGAAGCAACTTGATCGAAATCTGCGTTGCAGTGGCCGAAAAATGGCTCGTGAGCTAAACATATCACAATCTTCTATTCGGCAAATATTGAAAAATGAGCTTGGAGTAAAGCCATTTAAATTCCAAAAAGTGCAAGAACTTACACCGCAACTGAAAGAAAATAAACTGAAAAGAGCTAAAGAGCTTCTTCACTTGGCCGAAAGCGGTGAACTGCCGAATTTGGTTTTCTTCGATGAGGAAACATTCGTTGTCCAGCAGTTTGTAAACAAACTGATCGTGTTTACTTGCCAAAGAGGTCAGCTGAAAATGTGCACCTTCGGTTGGCCACCAGAACTCAAGCGCCAGCCATGGTGATGGTGTGGGCCGCCATAACAGCCGATGGTCGCTCTCCGCTTGTATTAACCGACCGTGGCATCGGAATAAATGCCGAATATTAACTCGAAAATATTCTGGAGGGTGTGGTAAAGCCTTGGGCACGCAAACATTTTGGCCGCAGACCTTGCACATTCCAACAGGACTCAGCACCATCGCACGCGCCACCCAAGAATGGTTACAAAATGAGGTTAATCGCTTCATTTTCAGCGTACAATTTCCACCAAAATCTCCGGATACCAACCCATTGGACTATTGTGTCTGGAGTATTTTGGAAAGCAAGGTTGGCACTAAAAAAACCAAACTGTCGATCACCTCAAGCAAATGCTTCTCCGGGAATGGGCCAAAATACCGCAAAGAAACATTTGGGCAGCGTGTGACTGTTTATTGGCCGTTTGAAGGCCATAATTCGTGCCAAAGGTGACCAATTCGAACAAATCTAAACTTATTCTAAAATTAGATGCTATTTCCTACATTTTTGCTTTCATTTAATAACATTTAAAAAAATATAAAAATTATGGCGTTTGACTTTGTTGCAGTTTTTTTATCTCACCCCTTTTATCTCAAAATTCTGAAATTTTATATGTTGAATACTGATAGTATCTGTGTTTGTGATTTGGTTGAAATGTGTCCTATATTTGTACGAAATGTATTAAATTGTACTAAATTTGATATTGGGTGAAGGAATGGGGCTGGAATCCTCGAATTGGTTATTGAGGTTTTGGAAATGTGTACTATAATTGTACGAAAGCTACTTAATTGTTCCAATAATTAATCCAATACTAAATGGATGAAGAAATCGAACTGAAATCCTGAAATTTGATATAGATTTTACTGTTGGTGTCTGTGGTTAAGATATGGAGGGTGAAATTTAAGAGCTGAAGTCCTGAAATTTGATACAAAGGTCACTGTTGGTATCTGAGGTTGAGATAAAGAGATTGTTTTGAAAATGCGTACTGAATGTTACTAAATTTGGTATTGGGTTAAGTGAGAAGGCTGAAACTCTGAAATTTTTCGGCTCCAGGTGTTTACTTTTGAAGACGCTGACATGTTTTTCGACAGAATAATAGGATATCGGTCCATTTTGGTTTCACTAATACCCCCCTCGGTAAACTTCATAATGAACGATTTTGAAGACTTTTTGGTGAAAAGGGTAAACATTTTCGTAATATTCTTTCCAAAAAGAATTAAAAAATATATAAAACCTTGAAATTTTTGAAAAAAAAAAAGAAATAACTGGATTTGAAAAATTTACAGAAAATCCAACATTTTTTTTTCTCAATTTTAATGCGAATTATTGTTAATCAAAATTTTAAACTTTTGTGGGGTAGTTACAAGATGGGATGTGTCGGTAAATTTCAAATTCACGTCAGATCTTTGGTTGAGAGAAATATTTAGATATAGCAAATTTGAAAAGATCGACTGACTTGTTTCGTAAGTTGTGAGAAATATAAGTACGGAGAATCGAAGATGTTTGACAGTGAAGAAAAACCTGAAACGTGAGTAAGTTGTTTGGTTGACAAAAAGGTAATCGCCAAATTCACCCTTATAAAACGGAATTTGTCTCTTAATTTTTTTTCGAAAAGTGTCTACGCCTTGAACGATTTCTGGACTAGGGACTTCTAGTCCCTAGATATTTTAAATTTGGTTGCGTAGAACAGTTAGAAAATGATATTCAGCATTTTTTATTTTAATTTTAATCTATAAATCTTCCGATGGTGAATTTGTACCCAACATAGACTTAATGTCATCTCTCTTCTGAATACTGTTTCTGTATACCCCTCGTAAAATATACATGTGTATTATGGATGCGTGGGTGCTTAAGCCGGAATGTTACAATTTGGTAACACTTATTAAATGGTACTTTTCAGTTCGATTACCAAAGAAACAAGCTGCGGCTAAGGGTAACTGGCGACAATTTGCGTTACAAGAAAACATATTTTTCATTTCATATAACCCGCTTCTGGCATGCGGCATGTCAGGCGATAATGTTTTCTTGCCACATTCGCACACACATATATATGTACGTATGTGTGTCGCCGATGAATGCCAATGGAACTTTGGATGTCTGGCTAAATTCCGAAATGAAACTGAGTGAATGAATCGATGTTGTGGCTGGGATTTTTATTTTGTTTTCGTTTTTCGCTACCGAAATTCGAAATATTTGTATTTCATCGATGATGTGGTGGTGGTGTTGTTGTTATGGCATCGATGATGGCTTAAAGGCTTGACGGTGGATGTGTGTGTGTGTCTGTCTATGGCAATGTTAATGATTATGGGGAGGATAGCGATGATGATGATGATTCCAACGCCGACACAGTCAGCGACAGTCAGTCAGTTGGTGATGACATAAACGCCTTTAACCAAACGAAACGAACGACTGCAACGATGAGAAACAGAAAAAGATGATGGAAACTGAAAACCAGTTAATGGTTATTATTACAGTTTTACAATAAGAGCAAGGCGAAGCCGGGCGGGGAGAGTGGAATTTGTCAGAGTACACGAGCGAGTGAGTGAGTTATTGTTTGCATTATGTAAATTATTAAATATTATTCCATCGCAGAGTAGTTATGAAAATCAACCGCAACCCGACATGCTGGGTATTTTCGTATAATTTCTCCAAGATCAAATAATAATTTCAAATTAAATCATCTGCTGGCTGTTTATTTTTTCCAAAAGGCTTTGTAAAGTTCAAGGGAGTTAAAAACTCAAATGTTAACTCTTAAAGGAATAAGAATTAAAAAAGAAGTTATTAAGTTGCATTGTCTAAGAAAATAAATACTTTTGGTAAATATTTTAGTTTCTACCATCCAAACGAAGTGAAAAATAAAATTCTCCGGAAATTCGTTCGTAAATGTTGATAGGCAGAACAAAAATATAAGGGGACTTTAAAGATTTTAAGACCAGCCAGAATCACTGCAAAAGCTACCAATCCATCCATGCATCCAGTTTGAGGCGGTTTATGGGCTGGTAGCATCATTGTACTGTACCAGAGCTAGAAATCATAACCTAAATATGAATGATGAGCGGCAGCATGTTTGCCTAAAATGGAAGATCTTGACTTGCATGATAAGTGGTTACAAGAAGACGGTGCGACATGCCACACAGCACGCATATCGTGGACTTGCTGGCGAGTTCGATGGACATTTTCTTTTACGTTCGGGTCCGGTCAATTGACCGCCTAAATCGTCCTATTTAACCCCTATTTTTTGTGGGGCTATGCTAAAGCTCAAAAAAGGGCATAACTTTTAGAGAACATAATTTACCGTATCGTATTCTATACATTGCCAAATTCCAATATTTGCATCAGTTCTAGGTCAGGTGTGAAAATGGACAATATCGGTCCAATCCATCAAGTACCTACCCTACAAATGGTCAAAATTTTTAATAAATATAACTGTTAGCAAATGTGACGTAATATTCCGAGTGTCTTAAAATTACACGCACCACAATATTATTAATCTGGTGTGAAGATGGGATATATCTGCGAATCCCTTTTGGTACCTCCACCACAAAGGGTCAAAATTTTGAATATCCATGAAACTCATAAAACGCGAAATTAACATCCGATTCCATTCAGACTTGGCAAATCGCAATATTTCTATCAACACAAGATCTGGTTTAAAGATGAAAGAGATCGGACCATTCCTCCTGGTTCTCCCCCACAAAGGATGAAAGTTTTGAATAACCAAAACGATCATAAAATCCGAAATTAACCACCTGGATATCTTCAATTTTTTTTATCTGTGAAGATGGAATATATCTGCGAACCTCTTCTGGTACCTTCCCCACAAGGGGTGAAAAATTTGAATATACGACACAAGATCTCTTATAAAGATTGGACCATTTCTTCTGATACCTTCCCCCCAAAAAGCTCAAAGTTTTGAATAACCAAAACGATTATAAAATCCGAAATAAGCTTCCGGTTCTCTTCATATTTCACATATCACAATATTTTATTAACCCAAGGGCTGGTGTAAAGATGGAATATATATCTGTCTGGAATCAGGTCTGGTGTGGAGATGGAATTGACTCCCCCCAAAGGGTCAAAATTTTGATTACCCATGAAGCTTATAAAACGCGAAATTAACATCCGATGCCATTCAGACATCTCAATATATCTACAAACACGAGATCTGTTAAAAAGATGGTAGAGGTCGGACCATTTCTTCTGGTAACTCCCCAACATAGGGTTCAAGATTTTAAAGATTAAAACGCTTAAAGAAAGCGAAATAAGCATTTAACATTCTTCAAATTTCAAACACA